GAAACTGTATTGGCGGTAGAACAGAGAAGAATCAGACAGAGAGAGAGAAGACAGAGGGGCCAAGAAGAAAGTCCAAAGGCCCGAGCCTGAATTGGCCTAAGAGACCAAGGTAACTTTAACATCTGACATTCAGCTCAGAAACCATTTAGCCCTCAAAATGAGGGCCTTGAACCAAACCAATGTACAAGTTCTTCAACAAAGATCATTGCCGACAGAGTTAAAATCAATCCTATCAAGCAAGAGAGGCGAAAGGATAGTCAAGTCCATGAGGGCGGGGGCCATGTTGCTTGGCTCCCAGGGGACAATCACAAAGTCTAGCACATAGCAGGCACACAATCAATCCTTGTGAAGTGAATAACATTCATTTCATACAACTCTCCAAATTACACTGGAGAGACAATATATGTATCACAGAAAGGTTTAACTACAGCTAATTTTAGCCCTGCAACAAAACCTAAATAGATGGTGGCCATGCAGACCTTTAAATTATTTGCAACATCCCGCTCGTATGGGAAACTCGGAACGACCAGGCGTGCACGAGGCAAAGAGATGTCTCTCTTAACTGTTGGTAAGGAATATTTGAAAGTATAGGGAATTCAGCCTATTAACGCTAAGTACTCTGCAGAATTAGCAGACCTCCCAGAGACTTACAATTTAAACAGGCAGGTCTGATGCATGCGTTTAAGCCCAATCAGCTAAAGACTAACCAGAAATGGGAACAAACTCATAGTCTCATGAAATCATATTTACTGATGTGGTGCAGCCGAGGACAGCACTTGGAGAAAGGACAGGACAAGGCTGAGAAAGAGGGAGGAAGGAATCATCTTTTGTAAGGTTTGGCTTCTCAAAGGATTCTGAAGCTGTGTCTAAGGGAAGCAGATTCAGTTCTGGATTGACTGCAGTTTGGAGGTGAGACCAGGAGAAGCGGAGATTAACTAGGGGTTGTTATGAGGTGAGGACAGTTGAGCAATTAAAGAACTCCCAGGAAAATATGGGCAGTGCAAAGCAGGCCTGGACCGTCAGCAGTGAAAAAGCGGGACCCACTTAGAGAGGGGTCACACGACTGTGGGAGAAGCGATGTCGTCGGCCAACTTTGCAGCTGGCTTGCTGCGGGTCCATCCTTCAAGCCCGACTGAAGGCAAGGATTTCTCTGTCTCTCTGCTAACCCAGCTGACTTCCACTCCCTCAGTAAGAGGCAGGCTTTGATTCTTACACAGATGTGAGTATTAAATAATCCCCCTTAATCAAATTGTACAAAGGGACATTCTCAAAACCATCTAAGAGAAACAGGCAAAAAATGAACAATCCTGACCCATAACCCGAATCCCATCTGCAGTTCCTCAGTCCTCCAAGCAAAGCTCTAGCCCAGCACCTGTGCCCTGGGTAACAATGGTGGATTTGCTTCCTTGTCTCCTCCCCTAGACTCTACACCCCTCAGGAGGAAGAGCGGTGAAGGCTTCATTCCTGCCTGGCGCCCCCCACGGCCCCCAGCCCAGCACATGTGCTCCGGAGCCAAGCCATCTACTAGTCCCCTTCTATATGACGTGCACCAAGGCCTCTCATGTGGTAAACCAGACTGTGCACTCCAGATGACTTATAATACCATCCTACTCTGAAGGATGTGCTACACAGGGCAGGATGACCGGCGAGATCGACAACTCTATGTCAAAGAAGGGAGCTTCCATTTGAAGCGTTCACAAACAACTCTGTTGCAACATGATGGAGTCAAGAGCACATCAACAGCCCCACACAAACTGGATTGAATCCCTACCAAATCGAATCATTTATTGTCTGGTACTAGAGATGGGCATACATCCGTCTTTAAGCAAGACTATAAATTCCTGGGGGTGAGAGGTTATGCGTGTCTTGCTGAGCTTTGCCCCCAGCGCTCTGCCTACTGTGTTGCACAGTACAGGCTTCCAATCCCTTGAAGGCAAAGTGGATGAGGTGGAGAAACAAGAAGCTCATTCAGTTAAAGTGAAAGGGAAAGAGCACAGTGGGGCCGGTAAGGAAGAGGAAAGGTGTCCCATGTGCAGATTAGAGGTTTCTGACACTGGAGGACAGAGGACTCCCACAGCCGGCTTAGGTGGCCGAGGAAAGAGAAAAGCTGGTTGAGTTGACTTGGAACGTGGAAGCATCACAAGAGATCTGCACCTGGGCTGAGAGGCGGGGAGGAGGAAGCAAAGAGAAGACCAGGAAGACATAAATAAGAGATGAGCTGCCAAGGTCAGAAGATGAGCAACCCATCTTTATTAAGACCACCACTGATGGAGGGAGTGTGGGGAGAAAGATGAGGAGACAGCTAGAGAAAATGCATGAGGACTGGGGGCATGAGTACAAGCCTGATCTAGAAGCTTCCTTTATCTGGATATCAGTAAAAGCAAGACCTGCATATAGGGAGACAAGGGAATTCTGCTCTGAGCCCACCGTGCTACCCCATCTTGGAGCAGGTGCAAACCCCCACAGAGGTGCCTTCTCAGTTTCTAATTCTTATCTCCTTCTTCTTCTCCCCCTTTCCTCCTGCCATCCGAAGTGTTGGCCAAATAAGACCATGCAGTTCTTTGGGGTTAATGGAAGAGGTCCATTAGACTTCTGCCTTTCTCTGTCCTGGTGATACGGCCACAGACAGGAAGAGGAACAGGCCTGGCTGTCCTTTCAGTGTCTCTTTGAAGGTGAGCCTCATGGAACAGGAAAGCAATGGCGGAAACCACAAAAGGACTTCAAATGTCAAGGTGACACGCACACTCTCATTACTGTGACCTGTGGTCAGCAAGTGGATACCATTGTGTCTAAATTATTAACTAGCTAGAGAGCACCCAGATCATACTGTGGGCTTGGGTGAGGGTGCTCTGGGAGAAGGGAAGGAGTGCGGCTAACTCCCAGTACCCACTGGCCGGGCTTCCTGCCACGTGTGCAAATGAGCTGCAGGGGCTAGGACACAAAGCTGCACATTCAGCAGAATGCCTCTGAACTATAAAGGGTCTTTCTAGAGTAACATGTGCTGGGGATTCTTAGAATTAATATGTTTAAGCAATGAGGATAACTGAATCGTGTACGCTGGTCTGATGGCCTTAGTACGTAGCCCAACACGGACAACTCGAACAGTATGACATTATCTCAGTTTTGAGGGAAATGCCTCCCATTTTGATAAGTAACGTTACTCACCCTTTATACTGGAACATCTCTGAATAAGCATGGTGTGTGCTCGTACTGCGCTGAAACTCCCCCCCCCGGCCCCGAACCTACTCTCCACCCTCCGATTCTATGTATCCATGTTCTAGACCCACTTCAAGAATTCTCTGAATCTCTCCCTGTGGCTGGGAGTAAGATACATTATCTTCCTCCAAAGAATAGTGGTCATCAATCGCCTCTGACAAGGGGTGCCATCTTTTCTCGGGACACACGAATGCTGAATGAAATCACCACCTTAGATCAAGAAAATGGCATCTATGGGGCACCTGGGTGGCTCAGTCGTTGAGCGTCTGTCTTCGGCTCAGGTCATGATCCCAGGGTCCTGGGATCGAGTCCTGCATCAGGCTCCTTGCTCAGCAGGAAGCCTGCTTCTCCCTCTCCCACTCCCCCTCCTGTGTTTCCCTCTCTCGCTGTGTCTCTCTCTGTCAAATAAATAAATAAAATCTTAAAAAAAAAAAGAAAATAGCCTCTATAGTTTTTGTGAAAGGCTTGTGTCTATCAAGTCTGTTCTCAAATTTTGAACACAGATAGTCCTCTAACTTTAAACTCGTTGAATTCTAAAAGTTTAATTATACATCGGTTGTGGAAAAGAGAGAGGTGTTTCCCCACAGTAAGAATTACACACAGAATGGGTTCTCAGAACAGCTCACAAAAGCTAGTTTTCTACCTCAAACAACAGGAGTAATACTGTAGAACCGAGAGTTAAAGTGATATCTTTATGAGAAAATGCATTCACACTTCCCTTTGGGGATGCAGGGAACCCCAAAACTCTCCCTTTCTGGCAATGAAAGTAGGGACTCCTCTTGCTCAAAGCAGGTGTTGGGTGTGGCCTTGGTATGGACTTTAGGGAGGAGGGTCTCTGTGCTGAAGATCAAGACGGAGAATGTAGGGTGAGGGGAATGAAATCATCCTTGGCTAGACCGGGAGGGAGGGTTGGGGAGGAAAGGGGGACAGAGGGCTTCAGGGAGGAGTGGGGCTTGGGTAGTCGAAGAGCACAGACATGCTGCTTCTCACCTCCTCTCTCGTCTCCTCTGCATGCCCAAACTTCTTCTACTTCTTTCTCTTTATCTCCTCTGGAAAGCTTTGCGGGGAAGGGTGGAGAAGAATTGAAAGGTGACAGCAGGGTCTATGCGGTTAGAAGAAAGGAGAAGAGGAGGGGCTCACCAGTGAGAAATAAAGTGCAAGAGATGCAGTCTCTTAGCTGGAGGGAAGGTGTGGGTTTCTCACATGTAAGATGTGCATCCATCAGTCAGAACCTTGTCTGTGGGGCTGGTGCACAGACCTGCCGGTAAGAGACACCAAGAGCTACTGATCCTCAGCAGAAGAACACTCAGCACATAATTAGAGTCCTTGTGAATGCTTCCCCCTCTGAAGGATAAGCTTTTTAAGGAAGTGTATTTGAAAAACTTACTGCACACCTGTTGCACGTGGCCAATGTCTTCATCAAAGACATAGAATCCAGAGCACCAGAACAAATATATGCTCATTTTTAAAGAATTCACACACCTCAAATTCTATCACAGAAATTTAGCGTTGGTCACCAATTTCAAGCAAGGTAGCCTGTTTTGAACAGTTGCATATCCTTCAAACAAAATTCCATCCAGAACCAATGCACTGATGTACTTTTTACTACTTGCTACCAATTCTAACTAGTGGTCATTCTTCAGCTATAACATAAGCAAAACCTGGAACATGTATATCTTTGTCCATAAATGATTAGAATGCTGTCCAAATTCTAAGACATGCTATAAGAAATACAAAAATGGCATTGTTCTTTATTTGAACCTTCAAAATATTGTTTGCATTACCTCTGTATTAACAACTTCCATAGGTCTCTTCTTCATTTCTCCTATGTCCAAGTAACTGGGGGAGGAAAACAAAACAGTAAGGGTTTCTTTTATTGCTTTTGTGTCAGTTATGTAAATTTCTTACTAAAAATTATAAAAATGTAAAGCAAGCCTTAGGAAATACTTAAGCCTAAAGCAAAAATCAATAGCTAACAATTGAAAGCAATTAGGGTAGTAGGAACTGCTCTGAGCATCACCAACCCGAGCTGATACATGTCCTCTTCAACCAACGTCAATGAAACTGAAGTCTTAGAAACACGTATTTCTTCCAGAGAACATTTCCCCCCACGATGGTTGGCCCCTGACTATCTATGCGGTATTTCTAATTCTTACACCGATTTTGATGGAAAGAGTGGTTTGTGTGTACAAGTCCTTAACAGCTCCATTAATCACAGCCTTTAGGTCAAAACAAAGGAAGTACTGGGGCGCCTGGCTGGCTCAGTCAGGTTAAGCATCCGAGGACTCGTGGTTCTGGCTCAGGTCATGATCTCATGGTCCTGGGATCAAGCCCCATGGGGCTCTGGGCTCAGCTTGGAGTCTGCTTCAGATTTTCTCTCTCCCTCTCCTTCCTCCTCACTCTCTCTCTCAAATAAATAAATAAAATCTAAAAACAAACAAACAACAAAGGAAGTACCAATAGCATGCATTAGACCATCTGTGGAAGGGCAGGAAATCCTCTTCCCTATGAAAATACTTTCATGGGTGCCTGGGTGGCTCAGTTGGTTAAGCGACTGCCTTCGGCTCAGGTCATGATCCTGGAGTCCCGGGATCGAGTCCCGCATCGGGCTCCCTGCTCGGCAGGGAGTCTGCTTCTCCCTCTGACTCTCCCCCCTCTCATGTGCTCTCTCTCTCTCTCTCATTCTCTCTCTCTTTCAAATAAATAAATCTTAAAAAAAAAAGAAAACACTTTCATGATACGGAAATGCTCAACCACGGGGGATGCGTTAGGCATTGGTTCGGCTAAAATGCACATGAGTGGACTAGTTAACCTCTGGAGAACCCTATTACTAAATTACTACTTGTTATAGATATTAACTAGTGATCCTTCTTTAGCTATAGCATGAGTACAACCTGCAAACTACACTTTTGTCAACCTCAAGCCCTAAGTCCATCACCGTGATCCGGTTCCACTGTCCTTCACACATAGCAGGTGGTAATAAATGTTTTAATATAAAAAAATAAGTATAAATCTAGCATTTAATTCACAACCATAGATACAAAGATATCTCAACTACCATCAGTGCTGCGTTGCCAAAAAAAAAAGAGTTTATATTAGAATTAATTTTATCTATGTTTTGTTATTGTTGTTTGCATTTTTAGATAGAATGCTTTAATCAATACCACTGGAAATCATATTTTTCTTACATGAACGGTGTTTACATAAGGCAAAACTCCCTCTGTTTAGCAATAAAAAGGCTCTTTTGCAAATCTGCAGGGACTGATTTCTGACATAAGAGCAAAACAGTTTAACTGCCATGTGCAGAAAAGTGATCTCAGATCCACAAGATTAATGAAATAGAGTCAACTTCCAAAAACACATAGGAAAACTTCAGGGAAAATAACTATCTCTAGATTTATAATAAAGGGTTAAAATAAAAGTTTAAAATAAAATAAAGGTTTAATAGCTACCTCAAGTTTAATTATGGTTTCAAAAATATTAGGAAAAATCTGAGTAAAAGAAATTCAAGAAGGAAGTTGATCATTTTCATTTGAATAATTTTTTTCTACCATTGCTAAGTTCCCCAACATCCTTTAGGGCCTAAATGACATAAATTACCCTCAGTATCTTCTGGGCTTTCTTTCGTTCTGTCAATTGCCCCATTTGTTATGTAAACTTGCAACTGCTAAGCTTCAAATATATTCAGCATTTAAATCTTCTGGGCTTATCATAACCATAGATACTACTACTTTAACAGAAATAAATACACTAATCATCTGTCAGCATGGAAAACTAACCATGGAAACTGTTATAACAAACTCGGGGTTTTTTTGTATGTGAATTAAAAGCAAAAATAACCGTGCAAATCTCTTATATCTATATAAAGAATGACTTGAAGTGTACTTTCTATTTGGTTTGGAACTGGACCTGTTTTTATCTTTTGAGCTGGTAGTGCCAAATAAACAAAAGAGAACATGAGTTACAAAAGTGAGTCTGCAACTTTGAGCTGTTAATAGATTCTGAAACAGAGTTCCATTCCCATGAAACTGCTTTTTATGGGAATTATTTAATTTAAAAAAAATCAACAAAATACATGATGAAACATGTATTGTACATGGACATAGTGATGCTTTGTATTTACATGACATTTTGATGTTTACAAAGCACATTCACATCCATAGCACTCACTTTTCTTTTTTTTTTTTTAAGATTTTATTTATTTATTTGAGAGAGAGAGAATGAGAGAGAGAGAGCACATGAGAGGGGGGAGGGTCAGAGGGCGAAGCAGACTCCCTGCTGAGCAGGGAGCCCGATACGGGACTCGATCCAGGGACTCCAGGATCATGACCTGAGCCGAAGGCAGTCGCTTAACCAACTGAGCCACCCAGGCGCCCCAGCACTCACTTTTCTAACAACCCAGTACGCCAGGCATGGATACACTCCTTGTCCTTATCAGGAAGCTGACTCACTGAGTCAAGTGGCTTGCCCAAAGATACACAGCTAATAAACAGCTCAGCATCATGTCTCTTGACTTTTAGGTTCTAAGTATCTTTGAAGCACATCACTTCATTTAGTTCTTGTCTACGAAGTTAGACAAAGTATGCTAAAGAATGTTTCCAAGAAGGGAAATCTAAATCCAAATGTATCTGTCACCTCCCATTAAAAAGAATGTCTAGCAGAACAAAAAAGCAGAACACTCAGAACTCAGTTTAAGCAGATCCAGGAAAGGAAAAAGGATATGAGACATTAGTGATATTTGGGAAAATATTTCTGTATAGTGAAAATTAGAATTCACAAGTCTAGACTTTGCAGGAAAGATAATTTTTTGCTATCCTGAGGCCCAAGCCAAATTTCAATTAAAATGTTATATTAACAACTATGAAACATAAAGTAATTCCACTCCTAGGTATATAACCAAGAAAAATGAATACTTGTACACAATTGTTTCTAGCAACATTATTTCATAATAGCCCAAAGTGAAACAATCCAAATGTCTATCAGTGGATGAACAAAATGTGGCATATCCATAACCGTGGAATATTCTTCAACAATACAAAGAATGAAGTGCTGATACACACTACAACATGGACGAGCCTGGGAAACTTTATGCCAAGTGAAAAAGGCCAGAAACACAAAAGGCCACATGTTGTATGATTCCATTGATATGACATATCCAGAACAGACAAACCCATCCAGACAGAGAATAAGTAGATTAGCAGTTGCCAGAGGATGGGGAGAATCGGGAACTGGAAGGGACAGGGTTTCGTTTTGGAGTGCTAGAAATGTGCTAACATTAGTTCGTAGTGATGGTTGCACAACTCCATGAACCTACTAAAAACGACTGAAATAGGTAAAGTTTACGTTATGTGAAATATATCTCAATAAAGGTGTAAATAAAATCCTATGGAATATTAAATTCTACCTGTCCTCCAATACCCACCCCCACCAGAAACAATGTCCCTCAACTGCGAACTTCCACATAATTTTATTTTTCTAATTGCAGTTGTTCCTTTGTACCTTACATTAAAATTATCGGTGTGCATGTAGTCTCTGTCCTGTTAGATCTCAAATTCTTAAAAACAAGGAGTCACATCTTGTTCATCTTTGTTTGCTTGGCAGATCCAAGCACAGCGTGCTAACTCACTGCCCACCGACTATGAGTGAGCTCCCCGCCAGGAACTGGGAGTAAGCACCCATCCTGACCCCCTGTGCTTGAAGGTCTCGCCATCAGGTACCTACAGACAGACATATTGGCAAATACCTTACGCCAGTAAGCTTTTCCAAGCATTATGCTAATAGCATAAACATGTAGGCGGCGGGAGGAGGGTCACAACAGTGGGGCGTGGTCAGTTCTACTTGGAATGAAAGTTTGGAAGAATTGAAGCAGGTGAGGGGGGCCGAGTGCAGAAAGCAATTTTCTCCTCTGGTGACTACATAGTATACAGTACTTCTCAATAATGTTTAAGAAATCGTATTTAAACTCAAAAAAGCAGGTGCCAAGAAAAAAGAGGAAAGGAAAAACAGGACAGAAAACGCTAATGCACCAGTTTGGTCACTGAATGCTTTTCTAAGATTCCTATTCCTCCTGCTACCCAAATGAAATTCCTTCCCCAGGCACACTTTCAACCCCCCCGCCCCAGCTCCAGCGGGAGCCCCGAGAGAGGCATCCACCCGCGCAGTCACAGCCCCCGGACACACCGCGGGTGGGAGAGGCGGGGCTCACTCCTTTGCTCAAGCGAACCGCACACTTTAATGCAACCTTAAATGGCGGGCGGAGGGGGACAGACGGACTCACTTGAGCTTCTTGAAGGCTTCCTGGCCCCCGGCCACGTAGTTGCCTCCGCTCTGGATCTGGTCTAGCTTCCGGATGCGGTGCCCGGTCCGCGGGGTGTAGATGTTCCTGACGGCCCCAAAGGGCGCCTGAACGCCGCCCGTCACCTCCTTCAGAAAGACGTCGAAGCTGGACACCTTCTTCTCGTGGATGACGACGCGGCGCCCCGCAAAGAAGGGGTCCCCGTTGCGGTACACCAGCACGCTCTTCACGACCGGCTGGGACAGGTGGCTGGACCGGGCGCCCGTGCCGCTCATCTTCCCCGCGGGACGCCGCCCTGCTGGCTTCTCAGGGGAGGTGCCTCTGCTGCCCAGCTGCCTCACCGCACGCACCCTTGGGGTAGCCTCCTGAAACCAACGCGAAACACACAAGCCCGCTGTAAAAAAGCGGAGCAACTGCAGTGCGCCTGGCGTGCACCCGGCGGAGACCCTACAGGCTGCGGGACTCAAGGTCCAGGTCCAAGGTATTTCACCGTAGTCTGCACAGCCAATCAGCGCTCGCCGTGCGCGCAGCACACCTGCCCGGCACGCTAAGGGCAGAGCCCAGGGATAGCCACCTCGGGACAGGAGCGCGCGTGGGGCTTTACGCCCGCAAGCCGAGGGGGCGCCGGAGGGAGAGGGGGGCACGCGCGCTCACACGCACACACGAATTAGAAAGATGCTCCAACTTCATTTCTCACTTCATACTCGTGTTACTCTTCGAACTGCTTGTCTTTTCTCCCCTTGCCACCTCGCCCCTTCCTCTCTTGCTTGCTCCCCAAATGAAAGCAATTAGGATTCTGGCTGGAATTGCCCAGATTTTTATTTGCTGAAAAATAATAGCCTAACGTGCGTTGAGAAAAGGGGGGAGGCATGGGGGAGGCTCGAGCTTCCGGGACCCCTCGCTCCCTCGGCGACCATCCGCGCCACCGCCGGCGAAGGTCCCGTGGGCACCGTTTGAACACCGTGGTGCGCAACCGAGTCCCAGGGCGGGAGGCAGCGGGTGGGGTCCCCGGGGACGCGCCCGCCGCGGGGGTACCTGGCGACACTCGAGGGCCGGCTGGGGCAGGGGCGGCTCGGGCGAGGGCCCGGCGGGGCTGGGCGGGGGCGCGGCGGCTCGGCTGGCACCGCGCTGAACTCGGCGGCGGCGCGGCGCTCCCGCTGTTCCTCCGCTGCCGTTGCCTCGGCGGGCCTCCCTCACCCCCCCCCCCCCCCGGGGGGGATGGACTTGTTACTTCTCGCCGTTTCCATAGCGATTGCAGCCACGCGCGGAGCCGAGTCCGCGAACGCGTCCTGGCGCGCGCCCGAGTCCCTTAGGCTTTGCCCGGGGCGTCCCCAGAGAGAGTGGAGAAGTAAGGGTTTCGGGGGATGGAGGGGAAGCCTGGGTGGCATTAGCATGCAGTCTTAATATAAATGCACGCCCCCTGGGTGCCAGGCGCTTTGCTAGAGGTTGGTGATACAGAGGTGAAGAGGGGAGCCTGCAATATTCTGAGCGCCTACCGCCTCCTAACTTTAGGCTGAGAAGGGGCTTTTTCACTGTCTCCAGAAGGCTAACTGGCTCAACAGCTGTCTGTGCCCAAGACTTCACATCCATGCCGTTCGTGTAGATTGGGTACGACAGTGGAACTTTAGTAAAGAGGTGTTGTCCAATCCACTCAGGGACATACATATTGTGGGGCCAGGAAGAGTCTCCCCGAATTCTCCTTGTTGTGTGCAAACTTCATTACTGACTGTTCCTAATGCATCATATATGAACAAAAGTAGTACTGATAATAACTGCTAGTAATCCAAAGTTTACCAGGTAGCAGGCATTGCGTTAGGGTCTTTATGTAGATTGCCTAATTAAATGCTCACAATAACCTTCCGGGCAAGCATTGTTCTTTCTTCAGATGAGGAAACCAAGGAGTAGAGAAACCAAAGAAACTTACCTCTGGTCACACACAAAAATTCAGTCCTCATTCTCTGTGATTCCAGAATTGCCTTGACAACCGTGTCATATCAATCTAAAAGGCAAATGTATAAAACATTGCCATCTGGAGCAGAAACATTTTTATTAAAGTTACCTAATACATTAATGCCTGGAAATTTCACAGTTTTCAAAGGAGACCAAAGAGAAGAGAATAATACAGAGAGAAAAGAGAAAGGAATTTTGTGAGCCAGTTGTAAAGAATGCACAGGTTGAGAAAATGAATGGGGAGATTATCTGTGCAAATATGCTACCAAGCAAGGGAATAAGACAGAATACCTGTTTTGAGGGAAGGAAGGCAGTAAACCAAGTAACCCTCAGGCAACCCAAACCTCTCTACCACCTACACTAGCCTAGTGCAAAATGAAAACGTGCTGCCCCTTGTTCAAAAATTAAGAATATCAAGATGACAACAGTAAAGCATTAAACCAAACATGGGGATGTTCCTAAGCGTGGGGCCTTGTTTTAAGTCCATGAAGCCACCATCCCACATGTACATTCTGGTTCCTTCCACAACAGTATCTCCAGTGCAGATCAGTCTCCTGGGGCCGGACTTATTTACCCAGCTGTCTCTTAGTGATGTGGTGACAAGTATTTAGTTACTGGCTGTTGGGGTGGGGAAGGCCTTGATTCATAGCTTTTGCCAATTTTTGTAGTTTAAATACTGCAAATGTGGCTGATTTCCAGCTCCCAATCTCATGTCACTGAAGGCAAGAGATGCACAGTTGCATGCCCTTATTTGGTATTTCCATCATACTGTTACAGTAGACATGGAACTTCATAGATAATAGTAAAATATAGGTGGTGATGAGTTTTAAAGGCATTTATTATCTTTGTTTTTAATATAATTTATTTAACCGTACATTTATACAATTTAATTTTTTTAGTGGCTGTGTTTGAAATCTTTGAAAATTTAACAATTGACTCTGACAAGGTAGCTCTCAGCACACCATGCTCCTGAACAGCTACCCTAGACTATCAAAAGACAGCCTAGACTTAACACGTTCACAAGATCTCGTGTTTTCACCAACACCTTCTCTTTTCTTATGTTTCCCATCCCCATAAATGGGCCCTCCTCTACCCATCTGCACACACACATTTCTCTTGCTCACAGAACACATTTGACTATGCAGAAAAACAACAGCAAACACAGTCATCTATTCAACTTTCTGCTCCCTTTATTTGCTGAATTTGTTTTGGAGCTGTGCTCTCTTGTGCAGAATCCCAAAACCACGGAGCAAAGGGAGAAGGATTTCAGAAGCCACAAAACGTACATGAACCCCGACTACAAAGAGCTGAGGTGGAATGAGAAGCCGCTTCAGATGGATGCTGGGGAATGTTAGCGTACACACAGAGAGGAGAGTTTTGTTTTTATGCTTCTTCCTAAGTGTGAGAAAGACTTTGAGGGTGAGAGATGGCAAAAAAGGATTCTTAAAGAAGTTTTACTGTGCATTAAAAATAATACTGTAAAGATATGTGGCGTTTCCTCAAGAGCCTGAGTAAATCTCTGAAATGCTTCCGAGTCCGTCTTTCTGTGGAAATAATAATTGTTTCCATGTGATACTGTGCTGAAACCAGACCACATTGCACCCTGGGTTTATGAGCATTCTTCAGTCAGTCACCAAGCTCTATCCATTCTTCCTCTCAAATATTTCCTCATAAGTGAATCCATTTGCTCATCTCCAAATCCATTTCCACCATCATTGCCTAAAATGTCACCTTGTCTCCAGTTGTGTTTCCCTGCTCGCCATTCTCCACAGGACAGCCTGCCTGAAAGTCTGTTGAAAAACACACATCTAGTCATATCCTTTCCAGCTGAAAACTTTTTGGAGGCCTCCTGTTTTTCATAAGATAAAATCCGACATCACCAACAATGATCCCAAAGCCCTGGGTATGCTGGCTCATAATGCTTTCATTCTATTCTCTTCTCACTCAACTCTCTCTATGGCCTCCCAAAGTCAAGACCTGTCCTTCCACTTCCTCGAATATGCCTTTGCACATATTTTCCAGCTCCTTGTCCCCCACATGTTTGGCTCCTTCCAACCAATACTTCAAGTCCCAATTAAATGTCATTTCCCCTCATTTCCCAGATCAGAATAGCTCTGCACTTATTACATATTTTCCTCCACAGGTCTTATAAGTTGTAATTATAAACCTTTGTAAAATTATATGTTTAATTTTTGTCTTTGTATAACTAAATGCTGAATCTTTCTATAATTACATGTGTATATGTATAAATTCCCTGAAGGAAAAAACTATGTCCATTTTATCCCACAGAGGCTGCTATATGTATATATATATATATCATAGTACTAAATAATTATTTGATGAGTGAATAAAGGCAAAATGTTTTAAGTTTAAAACATAAAAATTAAGATAAAACTTTAAAATATTTAGAAGCTGCTCCTGTGGAAGAAACCACATTTTCAGATGAGCAAATAAAAAAGTACTTGACAACTAAAGAGATTCTAAAACTAATTGCTTAGCTTTGGAGAGAAAATACATAGCCAGATGCAGATGAAAGCACCTACACAGGAAGCCAGACTCTTTTTTTTTTTAATCAATTAATTAACATATAGTGTACTATTAGTTTCAGAAGTAGAATTTAGTGATTCATCAGGTGCATATAATACCCATGCTCATTACCCCAAGTGAGGAAGCCAGACTCTTACCCACCACTGAGTTTTGCCAGTCTTTCAAGGCAATAGAGATATTTATAGAATATGGGACATATTCTGCTAGTTTTCCCTCAAAGAGTGTCATCACCTTTACAACTGGTGTTCATAACTCAATCTCAGAAAGAGCAACGACTTCAACTTCTTGAGACTATGTTTCTTGGATATACATTTGGATAATGGTGAAGCTTCTGATAAGCCCCGAATTCCTCTTGCCCAATTAACTGGTTCCAGTAACGGCTAAACTCTTCTTCATATTCAGATACTGGGTTGTCTACCCCAGTTGGCTATATTTAAGTGCCCAAAGGTGTCTGTAAGAGGGACCATCCTCATCTCCTATTTACAGCCAAATCATGTAGGTTCTATCTATTTAACATGCCCTAAGCCTTCCCCTTTTCATTATGCCCCCTCTCCCTACCTTCGTTTAGAGCATAATAAGAAATGTTTGCCACATATCTAAGGAGTTATGAATAATAAAAATAATTGTTTCCTACTTTAGCTGACTTACTACTATTTAGAATATGAGATGAGTAATCACAATCTCTTGAAACAATAAACTTGAACCTTCTTTTTTTATATTGCTTCCTGTCATAAAGTAAACCTCAAAGGAACCCATAGCAATTTATCTTTAAATTCTACATAAACCAAGTATCACATTTTCCTAAGTTACTATTTTCTTCCTCTGAAAAACATACATTTTCAAGGTGAGATTTAATATCAGTGAAAAACTTTGCAGTTCGCTAGGGTATGATCTGCAAGCCCAACAGAAAAATGGCAAATTGAGAGGCAGAGAGAAGTTGAGAGAATTTACACAGAGCGCTTCTAGTTTCCCTGAACTGCAGAAGGAAATATTATCTTGCCTGAA